CATGCAGGGCAGAGATAAGGAAGAAAAATTTAAGACCAGAATTTAGCCCATCTGGAGCTGACCCACTATTTTATAGATTGTGTTTTATAGTATTTTAAGGTTTACAGAATCCATTAATTGTATTGAGCTCTTTAATCCTCACAACATCATTACAAGAGAAGCGTATTAGCTTCATTTTGTTGCTGAGTTTCAGCAACTCACCAAGGTCGTGTGATTTGACCCAAGACGCCAGCCCAGGTCTTCCAGCTCCAGGAGCTCTGTTCTTTATTGACACCAAACACATAGGCTGAGAGAAGTTTGTTGAAAGAAGGATGAATGAGTGACTTTCTCCCTAGCCAGACACCACCAAGGATATAAAGACGAATCATATTTGTTCTCAAGGGAATTGAAAATAACTTCCTCTTTCTCTCCTCATACCCAACCCCACAACCATAATCAAACAATAAAGGTTACCTGGCACCTATTGTTGATTTTACAAGAGTGGAGAGTCATTATTTTTCAGTGTCAACAGTACTAAAGAATCAACAAAAAGATGGGGGTCTTCCAGAGTATATTGCTAGTACCCAAGGTATGACTCTTTTTGTAAAATATTTCATGGGAGCTCTAACTTTTAATTCATACCACTAAGGAGATATCTGATTGTTTCCTGGAAATACTAATAATGCAAGGCTCATAAATACTAATGAAACACTATAGATTAGCAGAGCTCAGCAAGTAACCTGGGGGTGCCTAGGAGAGAATTCTTAGATTAAAAAATAATAAAGACTACCTTTTAATCGAATTTTCCCCAGACTGGATTCCCAAATATTAATAAATACTCCATTTGGCTGTATGGAGAGCAGACTCATATGAGTACCTTGAGGAATCCAGAAGTGAATTATTGACTTAGCTTTAGCTTGAAAAGAACTTTATTTATTCAAAGGCTATTTTAGGTGCCAAGGGCTAGATAAGTTCGAGACAAAGGTTAGGAGGGGCAGAGAACCTCGGCCTTTGAGATAAACACATAATTCAAATGCATGCTTCTAATTCAGCCAACTTAGTCACCCAAGTTGGAATTTACTTATTATATTTTATATTATATATTAATATATAATTATATATTATTATATATTATTATCTCTCAAGAATAATAACTACAATTGGAATGTACACAATTTGGTGATAGCAGAAACTATATCTCTGTCCTTCATTACTGAATCCTCGACATTTAACACAGTGTATAGCACCTAATAGGTACTCACAAAATGCTTATTAAATAGAGAGTTCTTAAACAGTTTCCAGAGTTTTTCAGAGCTTGTTATCTTTTCCTGAAGGGCAGCTCTAATTATAGCTGCCCTTATATCTTATTATTATCTTCATATTATAAAACCTCCAAATATACACATATCCATGAACCTGTCTATCGTAGGTCACCACAGGACCTGCAGCCCTCCCCCTCCCCACCCTGGGCTCCAGGCTCGCCAGAAATCTCCTGTTCTCCTGCCCATAGACTATAAGTTTCTCTCACTGGAATGTTTGAATGCATTTTCCACCTATGTTTCTCTGTCAAGATCCTAGTCATCTTCCTAGGTGTTCTTCAAGTAGCTCTTTTTCCATGACAACTGCCCTAATTTCTCCTCTCTCTCACTCTCTATTTCCAAGAGTGTGACCCCAATTACTTAAGCTCCCTGCAGGGACCGGCTCCATCTCTGGCACAGAACAGTTGGTCAACAAATGGGTTGTTTGTGATGTCTAATCTGAATCCCAGAAATACAGCAAAAGGAACAGTTGGGAAGCTTATGTTATGATCAAATTAGAGAAAAACACCCAGTGTCTTCCACAACAGCATTAAATATCTCTCCTTGGACCAAAAAACACTGAACCATCCAAAGCTGACATCAAAGCAAAGGTAATAGAAAAGAGAGAAGGAAAATCCAAAAGGCAGCAGCTAAAATGGAAGGAAAGCGGATGAGTGCCTGTCTGAGGACAGGTGGGGATACCATGGATGGGTTGTCTCTGTAAAGAGCATATGGGTTTGATGGTGCGAAAGTACATCCACAACATGGGATGTTCCGCCTCCAGGAGGTCATGTGACTTCTCAACTACTTTTCTGCTACTTAAGTCAATATCCAGGTGCTTCCTATGAACCTCCACTTGGGCAGGAATGGGTTTTATGTATGAATCTTCATGGTGTGTGAAGTATCTAACAATGGAAATTCCCTGCAGTCATTTTTGTTGTTGTTAATTCATATCCAGAGTATTTTTTTAAATAATATAATAGCTTATTTTACATCATTTTGTGCCTTTTTCCCTCTCCACCACTATGTGCTTCCCACCACCAGTTCACCTGTGTACCATCACCATAGTCCAGTACACTTCCCCCACCCCCATTTTTTATCCATTTCCCATTCCACCCTGTAAAATGTCTCTGGTATATAATTGTTCATTATTATTATTATCTTCCCCCCTGTCCTTTATACTCCTGCTATGAGTGAAACCATCCAGTATTTTCCCTTTTCTTTCTGACTTATTTCACTAAGCATGATCCCTCCCCGCTCCATCCATGTGGCTGCAAAAGGCATGTGTTTATCTTTTTGATTGCGAAGTAATATTCTAGTGTGTATATGTACCACATCTTTTTAAACTAGTTATCTACTTTTGGACATTTGGGTTGATTCCATGTCTTTCCAATTGTAAATAAAGCAGCAATAAACATGGGGTGCAGGAGTCTTTTTGAATCAGTGTTTTTGTGTATTTTGGGTAAATACCTAAAAGTGGAATTCTAGGTTATATGAAATCTCCATTTTTAGCAGTTTGAGAAACCTCCAAAGAGTTTTCCATAGTGGTTGTACTAGTTTACATTCCCACCAGCAGTGCAGGAGAGTTCCTTTTTCTCCAAAACCTCGCCAACATTTGTTGTTGTTAGTTGTTTTAAGATGTACCGTTCTCATTGGTATATCTCATTGTGGTTTTAATTTGCATTTCCCTTATTACAAGCATATTTTTCATATGCTTGTTGGCCATCTCTGCAGTCTTTTTTTGCAACAGACTGGAGTAAATGTTTCAATCTGGGGACTAGCCAAATGTTGTATTCTGTAAGTTCTGGCCTATTTGCCAAAAATGGGGTTCATTCCATACAAAGAAATAGGGAGTCCAGAGCAACACCTGTGAATGGGCTCCCACCTCTTAATAATCTGGAGCCAAGTTCCCTGGAATCAGCAATTCTGCTCTGTCATTCTCTCACTTCTGTCCCTTTGGCTGTAGGATGGAGGAATAACTGTACCTGCTTCATGAGGTTTTAATGAAGATTAAATGAGTTAACAGGTTCAGAGTGCTTAGAATAGTGCCGGGTATGTAAGTGCTCTTATTGGCATGACTTCAGGCTCCATGGGCTTAATGTAGGTGCCGGTCATAGGTGCCAATTTATATAATTGCATAGATTAGAGAAATAATACCCCAAGGGCATGGGTCATATGCCAGCAGGCCAAAACCAAGATAAGGTATGGCTTAAATGTACACATGGACACTGAATACAAAGGACAGTTACAGAATGCATTATCCAGGGAATAAGAGAGCTGAGGATAATCCCTAGGATACTGTATGTAACACACACACAGGATGGCCCACACATTTATGCCCCAGTGCAGGGCATGAGAATGAGTCCTGATCTTTAGAATGATTCTGGACCCAAAGTCCCTTGCTTCCATGGTCAATGTACCTCTCATTTACATAAAGCTATAACTCATGTGAAAGTGGCTAGGAAAGTTTCACCTGAAATACAAAATGTCATCATTCTTACTTCTTTTTGCCCAATATACTTGGGAGACCACTGGGCCATTATCCAGAAATCTGGGTGTTCATTATAGCTCCTTGTGTCTTCAAACATGTCACCTCACCACACTGCATGTCGGACTCATCTTTAAGTGGAGAGTCAGTCTTGAGCTCTACCATCTCCAGCCTGAAAATCAGTGACTGATCTCTAGGTCCAGAGCAATATCTTACACCAAGAGTTTGCTTCAATTCCCTTGAATCATGTTTATCTTTCAAGTCTTTTTTGGACACAAGTACCTGTGGACCCCAGAACTGAAGTAGCCTCTAAGAACTCAATACTTGATAGCTGAGTCCTTTTAAAAATATAGGGAGAGCTGTGGGGGTGGATGGCGTTAAAGAATGAAGGCCTACTCTATCCAAGCAACCACATAGCTTAGGATGGCAATAGGGGCCCCAACCCAGTCTCCAAGCACCACCATTGAGTAGCCTGCTAAGCTCCTTTCCCACTGTAAAGAAAGGGAGCAAGCTGAAATAGAAAGGCAGGAATAGAGGGAGGGAAACAAGGGAGAGGAAAGCTGATGCAAAGAAAACCAGCAGATGTTCCCCAACCCCAAGACAATGGCATCAGGGATGTGAGGAGGGGGCAGTCAAGGAAGAAGGAAGAATGCATGACATAAAGCGCCTTAAGATAGGCAGCAGTGGGACAGGATGAGGACTGATGAGCTGTTGTTACCTGGGGGAGATCCAGGCCCCACACCTCCAACAGCAACACTTTGACATTTCATCTTGTGTTTAAGCTTTAATAAGCATTGAAAATGGCATGTCATGTTCATAGAAGGTCAAATACAGAATCCTCCTGTGGCAAGTGTGTATTCCACAGCTACCAGGTGAGTTGCAGTGGAGGAAGGATTGAGAACTGCTCTTGTAGTGGGTCCAGGATGCTGACCCCAGACAGAACACATAGTAATGCACTTAGCTGCTCACTACTGAGCACCTACTATGTGCCAGGCCTGATGTACTATTAACTTTACTTTCCTAACCCAATCAAGTACATTTAAAGCAAGTATTAGTTAATACTTATTGATGGAGCGTGTGCATTTATTTTGTTTATTGAGTCTCAGGGTAATTTCCATGAACGCTGGAAACTTCGATTCCCTCCCTTTCCTAAGCCTAACATCTGTGACGTTATGATAAAACTGGAGATCATCTCCACTGCATTTCTCATGAGTCGTCTGCTTTGTTCTCTCCAGGTGCTGTCAGTGGCATGCCCAAACCCAAAGCTGGAAGAGGAATAGCTTACAAGGGGGCAAAGCTGCACCTGCTTGAGCTCAGAACTTACAAGTGAGCTGAGAACTTCTGCTGGCCCCAAGTTAGCCAATACCATGGAGAAACTCAGTGCCTTCTTCAATTCCATCTGGGATGTCATCTCAACCAAACACCAAGAGGGCCTCTACAACACCATCTGCCTGGGCATCGTCCTGGGGCTCCCTCTCCTCGTGGTCGTCACGCTCCTCTTCATCTGTTGCCATTGCTGCTGGAGCCGACCAGGCAAGAGCAGCCGACAGCCAGAGCACAACAAGGGCAAGAAGAAAAAGAAGAAGAAAGATGAAGAAGACCTCTGGATCTCTGCACAGCCCAAGTTTCTCCAGCTGGAGAAGAGACCATCGCTGCCTGTCTAGTTAGGCAGGAAGCAGGGGTGTGCTCTCTGGGACGAAGCTGGCTTCCAGCTGCACACAGGCAGGGGAGCAGGATTGTGCAATGATGCACCCGTCCACAGAGGAGCAGTTCAACCAGGGAACAAACCTCAGGCCGCGCACCCCCTGGAGGGCACTCCTGGGGACTACATGGACAATTTCAAGGGCACTAACTAGGCAGCTATGTGTCCGACTGCAATTCTCTTCCTGACAGACTCGGGCCTGCCTCCGCCTGTCTCTGGCATACTGATATGCAAAAGCACAAAGAACATTTATCCATACATCTTGATATGTCTCCCGAATGCACACACGTGCACACACCCCCCCCCACACACACATACATGCACACAAATGCAGGTAACAGGTACCTGGGAAGTAGATTCTGTTCATTGAAGGATCATCAAATATCCATTTTGTGCAAGGCCCTGTGCCAGGCACTACATCCCCTGGTCTTATGAAAAACAAGTCTCATAGGAAGGCCTGGCCAGATGCAGGCACAAAGGAACACTTAGCCAGCAGGCAAGGCCCCGCTGCACTGTCTACTCCATATGCCACTCAGGTTAACGATGCGTGCCATCCCACCCCACCCTACGTAACCTTTCACTGGAAATCCTTATATTTGGACATTCCAGCCACGTGGTACAGCCCCCATCCCGTGCACAGATACACACCAAGTTTCTGTGCTTCTGACCTCTCCCGTGAGAGGACCCGTGTAAAGTGAGACTGATCAACATTCACTGAAAACTTTAGTCTTGCAACACAAGACAAAGTCCTCATTAGCACCAAGAGGTAGTCCATGTGGCTCCAGACCTCTCTTGGAGACACCACTCCCTGAACCACTTGGCAAGGCGCCTTTTCCAAGTGAAAGCACATGTCCCCGGTAGGGACTGCTCGCGAGTGATGGAGACCAGGAGTGTTCCACTGACCTCAGGGACTGCTATCGCGGGTACCTGTGCAAGGTGTGGTTTACAGGTGAAAAGGAGATGTGCCGCCTGATCTGGTATCTCCTCCATCACCAGTGGGATCCAGAGGGGAAGGACTCCAGTCGCCGGTACAGCCTCACCAGAGGCACACTGGAGGTGCCCCGTAGCCTGCAGTGCATGCATGGTAGGTCTGGGACGGGGTGCAGAGATGAGAGCTTAAATGAAAGAGTAAAGCTATATAGAGAGGTGTATTAATATTTATCTTGAAGCTCAGGCAAGTGCCTTGCACACTGCTGGTACTCGTAACTGTCTGTGGATGCTGTCGGATAGGTGATGCTGAGGATGTTAAGGGTAAACTTGGAATACCTCACTGATTCTCCCAAGTGACCTTTATTCCAAGGAGCCCACTAATTGCTGCAACAGATGAAAGTTGAATTCTGTGGGAGGGTGCATGCAGCACCCAGGACGGGTTGACGGGTGCTCTGAGGTCCGTGAGGGCTGCAGTGAGTTGAGGAGTGTGTTCCCCATACGGCTGAGGTTGGGAGGCAGCGTTGACCCACTTCTGTGATAAACTGGTTGGTATTTTGTTTTTGTGTCCATATAACAAACATGGCTGATGTCCATCTTGGAGCAGGTTGTGCTCTAAATTTTATTTGCAAATCTGCTGGGTAGCTCTCTTGAAATAATTTTCCATGGAAGCTGTTCTAAGTGGTGGTGAGATAGTAATTTAATTAATTCTGTATCTAAATGTTGATTATTTATAGTAGTTTAAAAGGCAATTCTATAGGACCGTGTTCAGAGGAACATATACTCTATTTGGTTACTTTGGCTACCTGGGACTCACCTGCCAGGTGTATTCTGGGCCTGGAGCAGGTGAGTTCTGGTGACTACTGCATGAGGGTCTTCTAACCAATCATTTGTCAGGCCTGCATGTATCTCAAAACCTGTCACATTCACCCTCTCACCCTAAGAGGTCATACATTCCCTGGGTAGTCAGGCCCCCGACTCATGCACCCCTATGACCTGAGCTACAAGCACCTCTTATTCTCTATCTCCTTGTCACATGGAGGATATGCAGAGAGCACATGGCTGTGCCCATCAGTGGTATCTAGAGCCTCTCCTCGTCAACTGCTGCCCTTCCTGTCTCCAACGCTCAGTCCCCTAAAATGGATGACTTGGGGAAGATGTGGAGGTTGATGGCCGAGACTAGATGTCAGGTATAATGTAGGAGAGCGGATCACTGGGATCACAGACCGCACAAGTAACACAGTTGCTATGGCAACTGGCTGCTAGTTTGAATTAAGACAGCAGTCAGTTGTCATCGCCATGACAAGGCCTCTGTCTGAGGGGTGCAATGCTCTGCTGGCTCCTGTTTGAATGGTGTTGCATTACTTCTGGGGCTGAATCACCCAGAATTGCACTCTCAGTTGCTTCTATAGCTTAAAACCCAGGAGACCCAACCCCTGCACAAGACTTAACTTTTCCCTAGTCAGCCTCTCCTGACAACCTGCCCAGAGGACTGAGGCATGCTAGATTCCCCGGTTTGTGGTGAATAAATGGGTGGGTGGAAGGAGCCCAATTCAGGGTGTCCACTGCCTCTCCACTGTCTTTCCACTCCATTCCCACCTTTCTCTACCAGGTTTTATTCTTGTTTTATTCCCTTTGTCCCCACACCGCTCTGGTCTTTCATTCCTCTCCATTTTGACTTTTTTCCAGCTTCGGTCCCAGAACAGACACTGGCAGCCAGAAACAACTGGGGACTGGAGCTTTCTGGCCCATTTTGGGAGACTTGGGTGAGAGAAGGACAAAGGGATTGCAAAGAGGAGGCTTCTAAACCAGCACAGGCTTGGGGAGAGAGCCAGGACTGCGGAACAGCTTCAGCCACCAAAGTCAAGGAGATCTGGCCCCACATGGCTCAAGGGTGTGCTTTTTATCGGGGGTGGGGACTAGGGGGTAAGAGAAGATGTAGGGAAAGGAAGGTCACCTTTTCAAGAAGAATCAAAATGGCCAAAGTGGCGTAGTATTTGTCAGTATTTCTTTTCTGTAGCATTCAAACACAAAAGGAAAATTTATTTAAATAAAGTGTTTTTTTGGAAATAAAAAGCTCTGCCTGGCTGGAGTCAGAAGTTATTTTCTTGACATGAGATACAGCCTCTCGTATACAACACTGGTGAGTGATGTCTGTGGGGACTCTCTCTGGCACTCTGCCCTTCCTGCACGTGTCTTTAGGGCAAGGCAGAGGCTGAGGACCAGAACTGCACTCACACCACCGACAGAGCAGACATCTAGAGACCAGGCACCCTCAGAAGTGCCAGCTTCAGAAAAACACACTGATGTTCCTTGGCAATACTTAGAGAACATTCCCTTCAATGAGGTCAATCAATGTCTTCTCTAAAGAAAGAAGGGGAAAATAGCAAAAACTTGGTAAAAATAGACTTCTGAGCAAGGTACAGCATCGGGAAGAAGAGAGATCAAAAACTTCTACAGTGGCTGCTAGAGAGGTGGATGGATAGGTAGGTAGATAAACAAAGGGTTGGTAGACAGATGAATAGATAAATGATTGATACGCTAGGTGGATAGATGGATAGATGGATAGGTGGCAGATGATGGTGGTGATGGGTGATAGACACCTCCATACACACACATTTATGTCTGTATGAATGATCACCTTTGTTCCTGTCAGCCAGAACTTTGCATGGAGTATGGCATGCGATCATCTAGATCCCTCGCTTGATGCTAAGCTGACCACTAAAGCAGAAACTGACCAGAGCAGAGCTACACAGTGGAACCAGGAATGATGCAAATGTTCTATATCTACACTGTCCGATATAATACCATGAGTCACATGTAGTTATTTAAATTAATTGACATTAAATGAAGGGCCCAGCCACAGCCACATTTCCATTGCTCAAAAGCCACCTGAAGCTAGTGGCGGCCACCCTGGAAGGCATCCGGGCTAGAAGCTTTTTTCCGGGGGGGGGGGGTGTCAAACACTTCAGTACTACTGTGTCTGCGCATTCTCACGAGGGCCCAGAAGGCAGGCCAAGAGCTCAGGTCCCTTCTGCTTCCTCCTCCCAAGACAGACTGCCATTGCTGTAGCTGCACTTAATTCCCTGGCTCCCTTCTGCATCCGCATGCCATTGACACACACAGACGTTTAATTCAGCCCTGTTCTTTCCATGGGATTTCCAAACTTTCCAATGTGGAAGAAGGAGCGTGGCCCAGAAACTGAGGGGTGCTGAACCCAATGCCATTGTGCCTAGCCTTGGCCCTATTGCGGTGGTGTGAAAACAGAGTCGAGCTTTCTCCGCTGAACAGGGCACTCTGCACTGCACAGGCTCCTTTCCCTTAGATCTTAGTATTATTCTCAAAGTCAAAGTCACAGGACTACAAGACTGAAAAAGGAGTGCCTTCAGCCGCTCAGCGTTCTGTCTGCCATGGGTTCAAAGAACTGTTCTTAAATACTTTCCTTCCAGAACGGCCGTGCATGCTTGAATAACTCTTCCTGAGGCTCATTGATTTCATTAACACTTTTGACTCTTTACCATAGAGAGGTCCCAAGCTCTTCAACATACCTGTGACACGAAGTTGTCCGGGTTGGAGAGACCAGAGCTCTCCTCAGAGCAGGCTGTCGGGGACACCTCTTGGGAGCTGTCTAGAGGAGGATCGTGGGAGAGGAGGGTGTCACTTGAACAGCCTGTGGCCCTAAACAGCAGCCGGAATAGTGAGTCAGGGTCTCAGCCTAAGTGTACAGGCTAAGGACTTGGAACTCGCACTGTCCATTGGTAACCTCCAGCATCACTGGATACATCATTTAGACCCAAGAACACCTCTGTAACAACCTCTGTATCTGCAGAAGCACAGTGAAGGCTACTAAGACTTACCTCACGGGACTCAGAGGATCAAGGCGACTAATGCATATATATCATCTAGCGCAGGGCTGGCTGACAGCATATGCTCAGTGAGCTAAGCTTGTTATTAGGGAGAACAGGATGCAGATGGTGGAGAGTTGTGTCCCGGAAGTCAAAGGCGAGGAAACTTTCAGGAAGAAAGCCAGAGCCTTAAGTTCAAGGGCAGAGCAGGGCCAGTGAGATCAGGATTGAAAGTGACCTGTGCTTTCTACCCCCTTGGTGCAATATGTTGCTCCTTCATGTCTTCCCTCACTGCATTGTCTACCTAAGATCTTTATTCCCAGTTTGTAGTAAGTGACTGGACTGGCAAGGCCATCCAGCCTTACTTCAGCCCCCTCCGCCCACAACCAAACCACTCTGGGGTGACAGTGCCCCCTGGTGGCCAGATCAGGAGACTTTGCCTCCACAAATTTTGTAGGTTTCCCTCAGAGCATCAATCCACCTGGATGGCTCATCTTCAAAACTAAATGTGCTTAAAGACTCACTGGACTTTCTGTGATTATATTCGCAAACCTGTCAGGGTGAAAATTGCTATGCTCATTTAGTCTAAATCTTAATTGTTATTACAAACATAATTTTGTTCAAGTGCTCTGCATTTGCATCGCTGCCTACAGGAAAGTGTTCCTAGCCATGAGTCTTCCCCCTCACAGCAAGAGGTGGCTGCACTGTCATTGTGTGTGTTTCTGTATCCCGGCACCCCATTCTCATCACATTAGAATGAGCCTTCAAGAGGCCAGAATTATGATTGTCTTTTTTTTTTTTTTTAAGATTTATTTATTTGTGCATACAGAACTGGGGTACAGGCCGGAGGCTCAGGGGCAGCGAGAGGTTTCACCAGAGACAGAGTGGGGAG